ATGAAAGGACACTATCAAGAAAGTTAAAATACGACCTACAGAATGGGAGAAAATATTTATGTGAAATCATAGAAAATACATATATTGGTCTCTGCCCTGGTTCCTGGCAAATAGCTCCTAAATCCTTGTAATTTCCTAAGTGATATATAAAAAAAAAATAAGTAGTTTTGTTTTCTAACCCATAAGAGACTTATCTCTTTTTTTTTGCTACCAAAGATTCGCCCTGAGCTAACATCTGCTGCCAGTCTTCCTCTTTTCTTTTTCTTTCCTCCCCAAAGCCCCAGTACAGTTGCATATTCTAGTTGTCCTTAGAGTTGTCCTCTAAGTCCTTCTAGTTCTTCAGTGGGAGCCGCCATCACAGCCTGGCTACTGACAGGATGCGCGGTGTGGTTCTGCACCCAGGAACAGAACCCAGGCTGCTGAAGCAGAGCATGACGATCTTTAACCACTAGGCCATCAGGGCTGGCTCCAGAGGAGACTAATGTTAATAAGTAATTTTTTTTATCCTTTTAATAGTCATCACACATATAGTTGATCTTACTTCCGCCGTTTTTTCCTTTTTAAATACTTTTTAATAATTCTTTTGTGCTTTTTTTCCTTAAATATTAGTGTTTTCTTTCCCTTCTGGTGTTTTTGAAGGATATGATGTTTTAAAATTGCACCAGCTACTTTGGAGTCATTTAATAATATGCTTTCATCTCTAATTCTCAAATGTAGTTATGAGTCAGTACCAGTCCTCTCCACACTAAAAACATGGATTTTCAAGAATTATAATATTTATCGTTGATTTATAACCACAGTGCCCACAGAAATTTAGACCTAATCTATGTTGGAATGAATGTATTGCCATTAAGTCCTATGAAACCACTGGCAGAGTCACACTCTCATGTGACTGTTCAGATGTTTACCTATATTGTATCTTGAGGTAGGTTTTCTAGGGTAGTATGTTTTCTGGCTTTTGGATTCTCTATAATATGGTCTTTGTATTACCTATACTCATAACCAGACCACTAAGCTGGATATGGAATTATCAAGACATACTTTCCCTAAAAAATCTAGAGACATGACTACATTGTCATTGAGTATCTAGGCAGTCATGCACTGCATAATGACATTTTGGTCAACAACGGGCCGCATTTATGACAGTGGTCCCATAATATTAGTCGCATATAGCCTACCTGTGTAGTGGGCTATGCCATCTAGGTTTGCATAAGTACACTCTATGATGTTTGCACAACGCCAAAGTCACCTAACAGCACATTTCTCAAAACGTATCCCCATCGTTAAGTGATACATGACTGTAGTTTCTGAGATTAATCCTTTAGGCAGTTTTTAATATTTTTGTAGCAAATCTGGTTCTTCTCCATGAAATCTTTTATACCTCTATACTAATCTTATGTACTTATTTGATATTGTCCCACAGTTTTCTGATGCTCTGTTCTGCTTTATTCTCTCTTTGTGTTTTAACTTCAGGTAATTTCTATTGACTATCTTCAAATTCACTGATTCTATGCTCAGCTGTGAAAAGTCTACTGATAAATCCATTAAAGGTATTCTTCATCTCTGCTACCATTTTTGTTTCTAACATTTCCGTTTGACTCTTTATTTTAGTTTCCATCTGTCCGATGAAAATTCTCCCCTCCAGGGATATAAGATAGAACACAGGCACCCCTGGGCAGGTTACAAGGAAAATGGTAACCTCAGGAGAGCCAGGTGTAAAGAGAAATTTCCAAGGTCAGGTGCAAACACAGAGATCATGCTGCTGACTGACCATGATCCAAGAGGGCATAATGCAAGGGTTTTAGGAGTTGAAGAGGGTGGAAGATGGAGTAAGAAAACATAAACATGACCCTATGTGGATTAAAATCTGGGAAATGGGGAGTTATTGGGTGTCCAATGCTTCTTGTGTTGCCTGATAAAATAAGAGAGAAACGGCATGATGAGAAAAGGCCTCTATGAACACAAAGAAAAAGCCAGGATAGAAGACAAAGCTTATATTGGCAGGTGCTTCCTAACATGGAAGTCCAGAACAAGAGATTCACCCTTCAGTCCAGCAGACTCTGGGGGCAGGGGACAGACTGCCTCCAGTGGGGGTATTCCTATAGGTTTCAGAGCTAGAAAATTGGTGTTCTGTGTGTCAGCCTGACCCATAAGAAAAAGAGGAAGGGGTGGGCTGTGTGTGTGCTGGTTTTTCCCTCTGAACTTGCCAGTCATGTCAATATTCCCATGGGTGATGAGCTGGAGGGAGTCCAGAAGAACGACAGACAGTGGGGCTCCGACCACATGGAAGGAATACAAGCGCACCCTCCCAATCACCAGTACTCATGAGTGACAGTAAAGGAGCAGAGCAAGGAGAACAGTTAAAGCAGTGGCCAGATTTTACTAAAATATGAAGTTGATGGTCAAAGCCTGATTAAAGTGAGAGACTAGGCAAGATCTTTGAAGAGATGTGGAGATGGATGACCAGAAAGGTAGAATTCTAGAGGTAGAATTGCCTCTAGAGAGAGGAACAAATGCAAAAGGAGCCTAGGGCAGAGGGAAAAGAGAACCAACCAATCCAGGTTTGTGGACAGGGCTGGACAAATAGATGAGCACATAATGGTGAAGAGAAAGGGAGAAAGTTAAGCAAATGAAGAGTTACTATGATTTCCACCCTTTCTAGGCTTGGAAGATTACATAGGTTATGAAGATCAGAATTTCCACTGGGGAGAAAAAGTAAGGGATAAATTTGGAAGCTTAAAATGACACAAGGTAGGAGAAGCATCATTGTCTCCTTGGAGCTTCTTCATGACAATAGACGTTTTAAATTCTTTGATATTTCTATTGTGACCTCAATTATAAGTAAATAATTCTTTGAAAACTGAAATATAAAGGATAAGATAAAATGCTGTAGGAGAGGGCAGAAGCTCCTGGCCCCTCAACCCTCCCCAGCTCCACAGTTCCTCTTCCCTCTGCAAACATGAAGAGACTCTAACATGTTTTGTCCCCTTCTATGATGCTGACTTGGCCACGTTTGCTAACAGGGGAGTGATGGTTTGCTTAATGACCCAATACCTGGAACAGCCCCCTCGTGGGTTCCCTGCTGACAGTCCCAGAGAGGAGAAGCTGGAGGGACAGGCCCAGAGCAGCCTTGCTGGCTCTCCTCACCTCTCATTTGTTTCACACGAGCCTGGGGAGCCCAATCAGGACTATGTAGCGGTGGGAGCCAGATTTCTGTTCTAGGATGACAGGCTCCTCGTGGGTCCTTTAGTCTGGGGCTCTAACCACCTTAACATTACTGGAGACATGCCCAAAGTGGGGGCAGAGCAAAGAAGTCTGGCTTAAGGTACTGAGCACCAGCCTGGCTCACAGCGGGGTGGAGACCAGTCTCCCTTTGCTCATTTTCTTATGTGTGCACAGAATTCAGGAGCCATACGTGAAGGGCGACTGGCAAGGAAGCATTCAGCTGTGATTTGCTTTCTTTACCAACACCCTCTAATCGCTCTCCAAGCAAAGCCTAACTTTGAACAGAGGCTCTGGTGTGAACAGAGAGCTAACCATAGGACAAGATGTTCTTATTGGTGAAATTCAGATAACATAAAATTAGACATTTTAAAGTGTACAGTTCAGATGCATTTAGTACATTCACAATGTTGTGTGACCACCAATTCTTTCTAGTTCCAAAACTTTTTCATAGCCCCAAAAGAAAACTCCATACCCATTGAGCACTTACTCCCTGTTTCCCCCTCCTCCCAGCCCCTAGTCACCAGCAATCTTCTTTCTATCTTTATGGATTTACCTATTCTGGATATTTCATAAAAGTGGAATCACACGATATGCGACTTTTGTGTTTGGCTTCTTTCAATGAACATAATGTTTTTGAGGTTCATCCACATAGTAGCATGTAGCAGGACTTCATTCCTGTTTATGGCCGAGTAATATTCCCGTTTGGAGATATCCATTCATCCATTACCAGATGTTTGGATTGTTTCACCTTTTGGCTATCATGAAGTGTTGCTACATGCCTAGGAGTGGAGTTGCTGGGTTTGGTCAGGATTTTTATTTATTTATTTTATTGTTACTCAGGAACTTATGCAATAAGTGACTGGTCCATTTTAGCTTCAGATAGAATGAGTCATTTAACCAAAGTTAAGTAAATTTAAACCGAAATCATTGTTATTTCAGACTGGAACGATAATTATTGCCCACATCATGGTTTGAAGCTACCAAGCCCAGTTAGTCATAGAAAAAGTGGAACAAGTCAGACTCTCTGATTAATCATCAAATCTTAAATTCCAGAACACCCCATATGTTATATTTCCCTGTAACAAGAATGCCTAAATAAGTAAAGAATTAGAAATCTCTCTTATTTTTGATAATTATGTTGTAAACTCATTTCATATTCTTTATTAAGATTGGGATCTTTGTCATTTATATGTATTTCTTTTATAATGGGGAACTTAAAAAAATTGGGAAATCCCAGCTATAATTTATTTGCTCTAAGTGAAAGTTAATTTGAATTGTCAGCTAAGCTGTCTTGTTAATTTAACAAGAGCTAAGTTTTTCCTGTCTGCTCTGGTGCTGCTGCAGGTATTAAGAGAGGGGAAGAGACCCCTGGTTCTTTATGTAATGCAACAAAACTCAGATTTAATCATATTTAATAATATACTGAATTACAAAATAGCACATTTAGATGTCTTATTCTTCAAAGAATTTATATCAAGTAATATTTATTGTGTCTTCAAATTTTAATTTTACTTCTATTGATGAGTAAAAGCACAATCTTCTACCTTCAAGCAGTCTTAGAAAACACAGCTCTGGGGCTGGCCCAGTGGTACAGCAGTTAAGTGCGCGCATTCCGATTCTGGGTGGCCCAGGGTTCACTGGTTCGGATCCCGGGTGTGGACACAGCACCGCTTGGCATGCTATGCTGTGGTAGGCATCCCACGTATAAAGTAGAGGAAGATGGGCACGGATGTTAGCTCAGGGCCAGTCTTCCTCAGCAAAAAGAGGAGGATTGGCAGATGTTAGCTCAGGGCTAATCTTCCTCAGAAAAAAAGAAAGAAGGAAAGAAAGAAAGAAAGAAAACAAGGCTCTATGGAATTAAGGAATCAGGATATTGAGAGAGACTTTGTCCATTAAAATATCCTTGAGCAGGAGCTTGCTTTGCAGGAGGAGTCTCCCCCCCACAGAATCCTTAGACGAGCAGAAAGACTTGGAGCGATATTCATCGATTAACTATTTTTGAGTTCTTCATCTTGTAATTTGCTGATAATTCTAATTTACTGTAGACAGTTTACTTTGTCCTTTGGCATTTTTTCCTTTTTTCCTTTTAAGGTAAGAAAGTGTCTCTCATTATACAAGATGAGAAGGAGATTCTCTAACTGCTATTTGCTTCACTGGTCATTGTTTACCTATTATTTCTGGAATGTACCTTGAAATCCTGTGTGAGGTAAGCAGTTTACAGAGATAACACCTATCCCACCCCCATATCAATTTGGTTACACCATATAAAAATGACAGATGGGGCCAGAATGGGGAAAATATTTGTAGCGCATACAACTGAGAATGTATTGATAGCTGGAGTATTTAAGGAATTACTACAAGCCTTTAGGTAATAGATAGGAAATCTGAAAGAGAGACAGACTGATTTGGGGTGGGTTGTTCACATGAGGAAATTCCTTGGTGTAAAAATGCCCATTTTTTAGGTATGCCCATGAAGAAATGCCCAGCTTCACTAGTAATCAGAAAATACATGAAAAAATAAAGAGTGAGATACTACTATATGCACATGATGTTGGCAAAAACCATAGCGCCAGATAGAATCAAGGACTGATGAGGTGTGGGGAACGGCCACACTCTGCTGAAGGCCTGTAAGTGATGCGTGGATTCCAGGGGGCAGTTGAGAGGTCTTGGTGAAATTTAGCAGTGAGCACACGCCGTCTGACTCACCAGTCCCACTGGGGGCCGTGTGCTCAGAGAGACGCGCACACAGCACAGCAGGAAGACGTGTGAGGGTGTACATCAGACACCAGGGGCAAGTAAAGCGGGACCTGTGAAAAGAGGGGCATTGTACAGCTACGTACCTTAATTATAAAGATCTCAAGAGCATAACCCTAAGTGAAAACATCAGACCACAGCATAAAATATTGCATATTACAAGAGAGGAATGAGGGCTGGGAGGTACAGTGACCCACAGGCCTGTCCTCACAGGTATTCACATGTCCTCCTGGAAGACCGGGGTGGGGGGACGGGTAGGAAGTACTGTCCACAAAAGATAGGACAAATCTGTTTTGTGATGTGTCCTGTCACTATTTAGAGGATATTCATTTCCTTCCTTCCAAATTATGAATACTACATTTACTCTCTATTAATTGCTATCATTGTTATTGTTTGGTCTGTTTTTGAGCTCTCAGTTCTCAGCTACTGAATAATCTCTTAGTGAGCCAATATCATACAACTTTATTTATTATTGTCTTAAGATATGTTTAAATATCTGGCAGAATTACTTATTTTCAATATCTCTATAACAATATTATTTCAGATGACATGAATTTTAGAACATTTATAAGTTTCTCTCTACCAATATATAATATTTGTGATTACAACTGTAATTCATAAAACTTATAAATTAATGTAAGAGTAAATGATCTTTACAGAGTACATATCTCTATTTATATAAAACTTCACTAATACAAATTTCCATAGTACTATAAGTTTTCTCTTGTACATTTTGAACATTTTCTGTTAAGAATAAGGAAATATTAAATAGGGTAAAATAGCAAAGGAAAAAAAGAAACGAGGAAAGAGAAAACTTTGAGAAGGGCCAAGTATAAAAATGAAGCGGGTAGAGAAAAGTAGATACACAAGACACAGGCGCTGGTTCACATAAAGCTTTGTAATCTTGAGCGTCTGTGCCCTCGCCTGCCTTGGCACCTTCCACACTATGTTGAGATTTGCTATTTACTCTCCAGCTCTGGCCACTCAGGTGGAAGCCCTGTGAAGCAGAGCTGTTTCTGAGCCTGCAGGGTCTGTCTCATAGGAAGAGCTCAACGCACTCTTGTCAAACGAGTAAGTGAGAGAGTGGAAGGATAACTGGAGCAGTTAGCAGCAGAGTCACAGAGAGAGAGCGCGCAAAGTCAAATGTCAGAAAACGAGCCAGAAAAGGGGGACGCGTGGCACAGGGAGCATCCAGAGTGGAGAGATGGCTAAGGAAGGGAAGCTAGGGGCGTGTGTGAGGAGAGCAAACATAGGCGTCCCAGAGGAACTGATTTCTACACAGCGGAGAGGAAAGGCGACAGGGAGTGAGGCAACTGTGGCCAAGCGTAAAAGCAAAGCAGCTTCTGCTTTTCCGAGAGGACTATCGTTCTGCTTTGGCACTGTTCGTGTCTGCTCAAGATTCCAAATAACTTGATTTGGGGAGAGAAGAACCTCACCAATCTTTTTTTGGCAGTTGATGTTTAATGCTTTTAGATCGTTTATTTGGCAGAGTTGGTAACGTGATTAATATACTATTTTTGGAGGATAAGCATGGACAATATGAGAATCTTTTAAGTTTGGATGCATTTGACTCCTTTTAAAAACTGCCCTTTAGAGTAAATCAAAGGGGAACAGGAGGTTAAAAATGCAAATTCGAATGTGTAGCCCCAGAACCAAACCTTAACAACGGATAGTAACGGTATGTTCCATTGGCTGGGTGCCCATTGAAATTTATAAGAATTCCAGAAGACAGTGAGTATGGGCAGGTCTGTTAAGACAGTAGGGTCCTCTGACCTAGGGGGCCCAGAGACCCTAAGACCCATTTAGAGGGCCGATGAGGTGAAAACTTGTTATAATGACACTAAGATATTACTTGGCCTTTTTTACCTTTCTCAAGTAAACAGTGGATTTTCTAACTTCATAACTGAATGGAAAGCAGAAGCTCATGAGAACTTAGGTGTCTTTTATTGAAGAAATCCGAGTCAGTTTCTAATGTATTTATGAATTATAATAAAGATGATTATGCATAAAAAATAAATAAAAATTAAAGCAAAGCAGGAGTAAAAGGTAAATAAGAAGGAGGAGTTAATTCAAAAGTTTCTAATGTATTTATGAATTATAATAAAGATGATTATGCATAAAAAATAAATAAAAATTAAAGCAAAGCAGGAGTAAAAGGTAAATAAGAAGGAGGAGTTAATTCAAAGAAATAGAGGTGGGAAATGAATTCTGCAATAGAAAATGTGCTATGATAAGATGAGAGAAGAGAAAGGAAATTAAAACACTAGAACAGCATCAGAAAAGAAATGTGAGAGGAAGCAGGTTGTTAAGTGGGAGCGTCTGGGACCCACAAAGACAGCAGAGGAGAGCGAGGCAGTAGTAAGGAAACCAGGCCCGTAGATGGAGGGAGGGATGAACGGATGGGCAGCAGAGCAAGGAAAAGAAACTTTAAAGAAGAGAGAGATGTGCACCAGCTGGCACGGCAGTAATGGATTAAATGGACCTAAATGACATTAAAGAGAGGAGACGAGAAGTGAGAAGAGGAACATGAAATTGTAGCTCCATAACCTCTAAGCATAGAAAAAGCTGGAAATGAGAGGACAGAGTAACATGAGTATAGAGCATAAGATAACATAAGTGAAAAGCCACAATGATGAGAATACGGGAGGACAGAGAGCAGGCTGAAGGGAAGGACAGAGGAGTGGAAGACAGAAGGGAGCTGAGCCATAAGGAACAATGTCCGGCAGAGGCAGTAGGGGCAACTGCACTGCGAGCGGGCTGTCGCAGGCGCTGCTCAGGCAATTTGCAGGCATTGGGTGACTCCACCCTTCAGAGGCAGTCTTGCAGAGGAGAGGCTAAGGGGCCGCCTGCCCAGGGTCAGCACCTGGTCCGAGACAGAGCAGGTTGACTTGGGGAGGCTGGCACTGGCAACAGTGACCAAATGGCTATACAATCCCTCAAAAACAGACTAGAAAAATTGGAATAAATAGAGGTCAGAGAACAAAAATGGAACAGTTTATAAAATTTTGAGGGTAAAATGCCTTTTAAAAAAGAGGACAGGAAGGAAAGAGAATAAAAAATGCAATGGACTTAGGGGGCTGGCCTGGTGGCATAGTGGTTAAGTTCACACACCCCACTTCAGTGGCTTGCAGTTCTCAGGTTCAGATCCTAGTCACAGACCTACATCCCACTCATGAAGCCACGCTGTGGCAGCATCCCCCATACAAAATAGAGGAAGACTGGCACAGATGTTAGCTCAGGGCAAATCTTCCTCACCAAAAAAAAATAATAATAATAATAATAAATAAATAAATAAATATATATATATATGCATGCAATGGACTTAATAGGAAAAAAGAATGAGTAAGAAAAGGAAGTATGAGAGAATAAAAACAGAAATGGGTAAAGAAGAGAAAGAAATGAAAAGAGACTAATGAGAAAAATAGCAAGATGACAAATGAGAAAGATGACAGAGAATACTCAAATAGAAAAAAAAATGAAGAGACACTTTTCAAAAGCTGTTGGAAGACAAATGAGAAAAGGGGCTTCCCCAGAAGTATGTCCCCGTTGCTCCCAGCTCGGATCTGACACAAGGGACTCACCTGGCTGGTGTTGCAGCGATGATACTGACTGACAGGTTGTGGGGGGTGATGCAGGCTCCAGAGTTACAGGGAACAGGTGGGTGACCTTGTCCCACATGGGATGTGATTATCGTGTCACCCAAACCAGATCTGAGCAGATCAGGGTGGAGTCTCCAAGAATCAGCCTACTGAGTGCATTGTGACAATTATACATAGAAGCAAAGCACACCCTGGGGACACCAACTGTTCTAGATGTGGATGTTGTGTTAATGAAAGCTCTGTGACATAAACTCAGGATTTAACTCTATTCTGTTGAAGCAATAAGTTACAAGTCAACTTGATGAAATACAATGTAAAATTTTAAAGAATGATTAGCTAAGTTACAAAAATGTATGAACTATTTAAAGCAAATGAAATAAAGTAGATTCTAAAATGGCATTTAGATTTCTGCCACAATTATTTAAGAGAATATTCGCGTATGAGGATAATCACTGAGAAAAATGTAAAAAAGAGAGTCATATTTCTGTAGGCAATCCATAATTTTGTCCACTTAAAATTTTTCTTTAATGATACTGTATTTTTAATTAAAAGAAATAATGGAGATACATAAATTAATTCAAATAAATGTATATAATACTAGAACCCTGCTTTCAGGAGAATTAATATTTTCCTTTATGACTGCTGGAAATCTCTAATTCAGAAGATTAGGGATTTCTTGGATTAACTGACAGAAACTTAATACTGAAGGTAAAATGAAATATTTAAAATTATCATTTTAAAGGCAGTAAAATATGTTAATCTGGAAACTAAAATGTTTACTTGGGTTACAATGATTTCTGAGGCAAAAAGGAAACTGGAGAAGATACTGCACGCCCTGATAGAAGGGACGCACACTCGTTCAATCAGAAGCCCAGCTTTTTACTACAATTCAATAATTTCTTAAAGGAAATTATCACTTAAGAATTTACACAATGGATATTGAAAAATATTCATATAGACTTTTAAGGCAAGACGTATTACTAGGAATAAAAAGGAAATTTTCATAATGATAAAAGGATCAAAACACAAAGATATAAGAATCCTAAATATTTATGACTCACTTCAAATATAGGAACCAACAGTTGACAGAATTAAAAGGAGAAATGAGCAAAGCCATTCTCCAATGGCTTTTCGAGATGGGGAGCAGACAGGAAACCAAAGGACTGAATGAGGTACAGGGAGACTGGGGCAGGAGGGAGCAAGAAGCAAAGAAGGACCCGAGTGTGGCTGGGACCCCAAGGGACCCAGGGGCCTGGTCCAATAATGGAGCCAAGGACACAGAGGGGCCCAGGAGGTTGAACGCCACCTCGAGGAAAGGGGCCGGAGCGGGAGGTCAGACCTGGGTAGCATGGAGCAGCAGGAGCCCAAGGGTCCATCTGGGAGTCAGGAGACCTGGGTTCTAGTGCCACTTGCTGTGTGATCTTGAGCAAGTCACTCCCTCTGGATTGGTTTGATGAAAAGAATAAGAACAATGAGAAGTTTTCATATATTGAGGTATATGGGAAAGCCATTCTAGTTTAAATCTGATTTGGCCTAGAACTTGTTTTTCCCAGAGCGGCCTGACTTGTGGCCCACCAAACACGTGTCGTACATCTGCTTCAAACATTTTCCCAAAGCAAAGAATACACTCTTTAAAGATAGGGATGAATATCTCCCTCTCTCTGCCATCAATACCAGCGCATGTTTGAAGATCAGCTTTTCCTCCCAGGGAACCGAGGGCAAGCTGATCTGCCGTGCACGTGCTAACCTGCAGCAAAACATCTCCTCGCGACTTTGGGAAAAAACTGTATTCCTGTCATGCTTGCTGTATGTTCTTTGTCCTGAAACTATACATAACCAAGCGCTTCTCTGGAGCGCCCTTTTTCCTGGTGGAGCTAGCACTCCTGGGCTAGTCCTCAGCACTGGCTCTATAAATATCACTCTATCTTTCTTTCTGTCGATTGGTTATTATTTGTGTTGACAGGTTCAACCTCCCCCAGGGAAGAGGCATCCTCTCTGCCCTCCCCCAGCCTGGCCCCTACCGCTGGACAATGCCAGAGCAGCACCTTTCACTTGCAGGGGTAGAGGTGGGGTGCCAGCAAGCCAGAGGGCAAAGCCAGGGCCTTCCCCACCACTTGGAGCCTGCACCTCCCTCTGCAGCAGGGAAAATCCAGGCAGTGACCCCGGGCCTGAGGGGAGGTGGGGAGAAACCTCTCAGGCTGCAGTTGCCCAGGGATAGGCAGGTGGTAGGACAGGGACTCGCTGTCCCGTTGGATTCACAAACTTGAGTCAGGGTGAAGAGGCCCTTGTGATGGAACACTTCCCTGTGCCGTACACGGCGAAGCGCCGGGGCCCAGGGGACCCGGGACTGCTGGCTCCTCATCTGTGCCCCTCCAGGGGCTCACACTGCCTCTTCCCAGGAGAAGCCAAGGCAAGCTGGGCGCCCTGCTGCGGTTCACCCTCTCCTCCTTCCTGCCCTCCTCCACCGAGGCCTCCACTGGGCCGGGCCTGGCCCCTGGAGCATGGAGGGCCAGCTCTTGCCCCAAAGGCTCCTGTAGCCCTGAGGGTTTCCAGGGGCCTGCCTTCTCCAGTGACAGTTTTCACAGGATGCCACCTCTGGAAAGGTGCTCAGGGACTCATATCTTATAGAAGAGCAATCTGAGACTCAGGAAAGAGACGACTGTCCCAAGGTGGTCAGTGCCAGGGCCAGACCACAGGCTAGTTCTCGACCTCCAAGTCCATGGCGCTTTCCACCAGGGCATCTTTCCTCAGGGTCAGAGCTTCTGCCTGCCCCGAGCCCCACATACACATACCCCCCAAATACACACATACACACACACACAAGTGCAAACACACAAACGCACACAAATACAATGAGCTCTGCTGCCTGGAGTCCAGGTCAGCAACCTGAGCTGGGAGCAGGTGAGAGGGGCCCTCTCTGCCTGGGGGGTTTGGAAGTGCCGCACACATTTCAGTGGGTGGGAGGAATGCGGATGGCCTGGCCTCCTGCATCTCTGGGGTGGTTCTGTGCCCCGCCCTAGCTGAATTCTGCCTAAGATGGAGCCGTAGACACGGAACACGTCTTCCACAGCCTGAAGCTTGGTGTCTTTCTTGGGTCCTTATTTGCACAGCCAGCATCCCACCCAGCCTGGAGAGAAGGCCAGGAAGTCTAATCAACCCCAAGGAGTTGAGGTTTCTGAGGTCCAGGTAGACTACGCAGCATCTCCCAAGGGGCACCAGGGCATGGGGTGTGGTGGAAAATCCCTGGGAACTGGGAGACCCGGAACCAAGCCCTGCTTATGGCAGTAACCCTGTGGCCTTGAATGACAAAGCACCTGTCATGTGCTTCCCAGGGCAGTAGGTGGTTGTGCTGGGTGTGCTGTTTGCCCGCCAGGCCCCTCCCGCCTGCTGTCCCACCCTGTTCCGCACTCAGGAGCTGATACTCCCCCACCCCTGACTGGTCACTCACCGTTACACCACCTCGACTACCTCCTTAGACATATCTCACATCTAAAACCAGAACTCAGGTTAGAGACAAGGTAAGATTACCCACTAAGCCCGAGGACCACTGAATTTCAAATCATTCCTCATTGTTTTCACGTCCTCAAGAGCTCCAGCCATAGAAACATCAACAGCTGCTTCTGATAAATTCCACACTGTGGCCAGAAGATGGCAGTACGCCACCATCCCAACTCACCTGCAGTCCAGGTGGCTGGCCGGGAGCTTTACACTCCTGGACCAGCAGGGTTTTCTTTACGGCTTGCCCTGGACAGTCCACAGATGATTCCGTTTCAAGTGCACATACCAGCCAGGTAATCCAAACACTTATAAATAAAACCCCAAAATTGCAGTCAAGGAATAAATTCCTTTCAAAACATAACGACATTCTTGTCTTAGATTTCTGATAGACATTTGGAATTGGATAAACTATCATCCTTAATTAGGATAGAACACTTCTTTTTTTTTTGCTTTTTTTTTTGTCCCCAAATCCCCCCCAGTACATAGTTGTATATTTTAGTTGTGGGTCCTTCTAGTTGTGGCATGTGGGACGCCGCCTCAACATGGCCTGACAAGCGGTGCCACGTCTGCTCCCAGGATCCAAACCGGCAAAACCCTGGGCCGCCAAAGAGGAGGGCACGAACTTAACCACTCAGCCACGGGCCCAGCCTCAGGACAGAACACTTTTAAATAGAGACCCATGAAGCATCGCCAGTCAGCTAAACCAGATGGTCTAGGTCTGAATTTGTTCTTGAATGTGTTATCCTAAGGAAAGCCTGGGATGGGGGGGGGGCGGTGAAAAGGTACGTGAGGCACAAGTGTCAGCAGTGAGCGGCGCCCAACAGAGAAGCCTGGGGCAGCCAGGCCCAGCCCGTGGCCCCCAGCACAGCTGACAGCCATCTGTCAGCACTACACTGGCCAGTAGGAATGGAGTCCTGCCCGTTCCCAAGGTTTCGAGTGGCTTCCAGGATGATCCCAACATTTATCACCACAAATTCAGCTGTTACATTCATTAGTGCGATTCTTTAAATATCAAAAATATTAATAAAAATACAGAACTCTCAGAAATTCTGTCTGAAGTTACTCCAATATTTAAACTGGTGAAAGTTCTTTTAATAAAGCACTTCACTCCCTAAACCCCTTAAGGCAGCCCCAGTGATAATGAGAAACAAAGTCCTTTGCATACTAACATGTTTGAGGGAAACACAGCAATGAGGGCACACTTTTGCAATCTCAAGCAGAAAAATTAGGAAGAGATTGATCAAACTGAATGACAAATGTCCTACACTCATTGTGGCCAAGAGCCCGTGAGCACCCCCAAAGTCCTGCCAGTGGTGGCTCTCCATCCTCAGCTGTGGTGTCGGAGTGAGGACTTAGAGGTTCCTAGTCATCACGGTAGGTTTTCATTCTCCATATCCTTTATTAGAACAATGTTCTGGGAGGCTGAGATGTGAACATGAATGACTCGGAGCACGTTCAATGCTCAGCCCTCTCAGGCATGCAGGTACGTCATTTCCCTCTCCCCGGAGCCCTCACCTACCCCGTTACAGGCCTCCTCGAACCAGCAGTGGCCTGAGCCTGGACCAGAGTCATGGGCCTGTCATGAGCCCTGTGGTGTTGACCAAGTCTGCCTCCCTCTCTGTGCCTGCTTGAAGTCCACTCCAGACTGAGTTCCCCATCAGCTCTGCTCCCTGAGACTGTCACGATGGGGGACTGACTCCGTGGTTTGGCTTGAGCAGCCAAGGAGAGAGTCTGAACCACTCTGGTCACATAGAAACTTGAGTGGAGCATCCATTTGCAGGACTAAAGCTCACGTGCTCCCAAAGGATGGCACCTGACTGCTGATCTTTCTCTGACTGTGGCCCAGACATCAGGCAGAAATGGGGAGGGAGGGACATTAGAGCAAGGAATAGCAGCTGTGACTACAGCAAGCATGAACAGACCAACAGGGCTCCTGCTGTCTTAGGGACAAGGACTTTGGGATGGCTTTATTTAGGGCCAATAAGAGGGAGGGAAGAGGAATCATTCTGCCTGGAATCATATCAGCCTCTGTCTCTTCAAAGCCTCAATGAGATCCCTCAGTAGGGGGCAGGGCCTCTGTGTCAGAGGGGAAGGGAGGCTGTGGGGGTCTCTGGGCTATGGGGAGTAAGCAGAGAGCCAAGGGGGTGAGCCTTGTGAAGACCCTGAAGGGGCCTGGGCTCACCTCTGTTTGGCAGGCTGGCCTCCTGCTGAGGCCATGGGTGGTCTCAGTCAAGGGGGCATCAATCCCCAGCCCTACAGAGCCAGCCAGTAACATGAGAACCAGCTAAGACAGTCTCAAATCTCATCTCCAGCCAGAAATCAGGAAAACCACACAAGGTGGCCTTCACATGGGCAGACAGTTGGGCTGGGAGTCCCCACCCAAGATGTCTTGACTTAGAAAACAACTCAGTAACCAGAAGCCTCTTAGAACATCCCAGGCTAGAGGGGTCTAGGGAGTCCAGAAAGAGGACTGGAAAATGGTCCCAAGATCCACACTGCCTAGAGTTGACTGCAATGCCATCCCATCCCAGAAGTTCCTTCCAAAACAAATGGAGAAGTCAGAACCCTCAAGCTGCAGATAAGGCAGGCCCCTTGAAGAGACAGTAGACCCCTCTACCTCGGCTGAGACCTCCAGCCCTGTCCTGGATGGGGTTCTTGCTTCCTTCACAAAAGCTCTGACCCCAGCAAGCCGGGCCCAGGAGCCAAGGAGAGCCCAGCCAGCCCTGCAGTCTAGGGCATTACATGGGGGCCAGGAGACGTCCCAAGGGTGCAGATCCCACCTCCTCCTGGTGCCTGCCAGGCACAGCTGCCACCCTTACACTAAGGGAGGGACTGAGCCGAGTCCACATACCAGACGCCATGCAGTGTGTTATCCTTTAATGAAGAGCTGGGTCAGTGGGGCCACCACTCTCCCCACGGCCCCCCTGCACCAGATGCCCCTCACCACTGCTGCCTCTGAGGCAAGGTGGTCCTGAGGCACCCAGCCCTGCTGAGGGGTCAGTTTGCAGTGGCCTAGGAAAGGCGTTCATCTCTCGGACCTAGGAACGTGGCAGCAGCAAGGCCAGAGGCAGCTAACATGAGGTCAGGGATGATGGAGGAGGACAGGTCAGGAGGTAGGGGCCCTCCTTCCTCTCTGAATCCCAGTGGGAGAAAGGCCAGTGTTCAAGAGCAGTACAGTCTCCCCAGGGGCTGGAGGCTCTTCCAGCCACTCTCTGGAAGCCCTTAGTCCCTGACTCCCCGCAGACTGACGTCACACAGAAAATAGCCCACAAGGTCACTGGGCTCGGGGAGCAGGCTGGGCACCACCCCATCAGCCTCAAGGCCCCAGACCCACGAGGTGGGTCCAGCAGGGCCCAGGCCAGAGCCACCAGGAGGCTGGGAGCCACCTTCCACTAACTCTGCTTGTCAGGCACTACAGGCATCTAAGAAGGTGGTCTCTCCCTCGCGGTTCCAGGGCTGCCCAGGGAGGGTTGAGGCAACAGCAGGCCGGGGCTTGCCAAGTCCCTACAGATCCGTGACCTTGTTTTCCACAGCAGCTGCGATCTGCTGGAGCCGATAGCCCAGCTGCATCTTCTGGGCAGTGCCGTCCTCCTCTAGGGCAGTAATGATCTGAAACACAGAACCCCACATCGTCAGGGAGAAATGGCCAGCTGACATGTCTGCCTTTATGCAGACTCAACAGGCCTCCTCAGATACCGCAGCACAATTGGGGGTACCACCTCGCTTACTTCCTGTGTGACCCCAGGGCCTTGCCAGGGGAGGGAATAACAATAGCAAAGCTGCCATGGGGTTGTAAGGATTAGTGAGGTAGGGAATGAAGTACTTTACTCAGTCCTAGCATTCATGGTAACAAACATCCACCTCCCCTGGCAAGACTGTTTTGAGTAGAGGCCAGCCTCACCCACCATGCTGGCCTTCTCCCCACAAACCCCCTAGAAGCTCTGCTCCAGCATCCGGGCTCCCCCACCCACAGGCAACAAGCATTTCCTGAATTCCTATATGCCAGGGGCTGGGCAAGGAGCAAGAACCCAACAATGACAGGTCAGACGTGAGCCCCTCGTGGGGCTCACTGGTAGCGGACATATTCTAACTAAACATGAACAACTACATAACCACAAATGGGGGCTGCCACAGAGGGAACGGTTGGGAACCGGGAGGGGATCGCCCGCCATGTCTCCAGAGGGGATGCAATGCATCACACACCCCTGCCAGGCCCACGGCATTCAGGGCAAGGCCGCAGAGCCTGGACCTCACACTTGTGCATCACTCGTTTGTTAAATGACTGTCCTCACTCCAGGCCTGTGCCACAGGCAGGCTCCTCATCTCTAAAGAGCAGCAGCCACGTGGCAGGTGGAAGCAAATGTCTGATGTGGCAGGCATTCAGGAGGTTGACCAGTGGGTGCTCTGTTCTTGAGGCCCAGCCCAGATATCTCCTAGAAAGCCCCCTCACTGGCTCCGTTGTGCCCTCAGCTACCCCTGGCCCTGTGCCTGGACTCTCCTCTGGACCAGCACCCACAGACATGGCCATGCACAGCACACTACCACCCAGGAACTCAGGTAGGGATCTGAGCCAGGGCAAGGTTGGGCAGAGATGGCAGTTGTGTGTCCCCCCCCAGCACTTCCTGTACACCATCTCCAGGCCCTGGCAGATCCCCAGCTGCCCCCACCATCGTGCCAGGGAGCCCTGCTGAGAAGCCTGGATGGGGAGGGTGGGGACAGGTAAGAGCACAGCTAGTACCTGGAAGCACGCCTGGAAAAGGCCACCGGAGCCCAGGGCCCAGCCCCCCCCCTACTCTGTGCCCGGGGAAACCTGAAGGCCCCACTCCAGTTACAGGGCCAGGTGCCCTCTCACACCCATCTCCCTGGCCACCCTAGGGTTCTGCCCACCTGGTCGTAGTATTTGTTGATATACTTGTAGAGTTCGTGCAGGGCCACTCGCGCCCCAAGGTCTCCAGAGTAGTTCTAGGGAGGACAGAGGAGAGGTGACAGATGAGGGGTGCTGCCAGACACCTGAGGAGGCCCAGGACCCAGGGAAAGGGGAGTGGGAGAGGGGTTCTGGGAGGTGGAGGAAGGGACGGGCCTGCAGTAGGAAGCAGAGCCCTCTACAGACCAGGGTCCCAGGTCTGCAGTTTTAGCAGGGCCTGAGGTTTCCACTGGGGCCCTGCCTCTCTCCCCTTCGAGGCTCCAGGTGGGACCCTCTGTCATCCCAGGTGACTGCAGAGCCAAGCACGACAGATGCTGTTCATAGGCTGCGACCCAGGGTAGTTCTGCTCTGATCTCCCTCAAGTCTTTCCTGGGTCACATCCAGACCTCTCCATAGGGACATCTGAGCCTTGTCAGGACTGTGGAGTTGACATCACCTAACTTATGGAGCTTTTCTGGGGATCAAATGAGAAGATAATCAAGGCACCCCACACCCAGCAACACCTAAAATCATGGCTGCTATTATTGTGGACACCACCATCATCATTGTTGTTTCAGAAACATTGTTTCTAGTTCCC